TTTTTCCCCCCTTGATGCCTGATACCTGATCCCTTCGACACCTCGTGATCACACAGTCTGGTGACATTGAATTTTTAGGGTATGTACTAAAGATATTTAATTGGATGTTAAGTTAGAGGAAGAGGAGTGGCTCCTGAAGGATCTTGAAAAGCAGACAAGGATGTTGAGATGATCTGCAAGGAGGTGGAACTAGGAACTACTAGAAAAAATGTGAACCAATGGGAAGAATAATTAACAGTCATATAGAGATAAGCTAACAGGAAAAAGAGTGAAATCTGTGATTTCAGTTGTAGCCTTACTGTCTATTACAGGTACTTACTGTGGAAGTGAGTAGTGCTGCACAGGAAAATGGAAAGCATGTAGTCATTTTCAGGGAGTAGGAGTGGGGAATCTATAGCTTTGGTAGAGTTTGATGGTTAAGAATATAAACTTCTTAAAATCTGTCAGATTTTGTCTTCCCTCCCTCCCTTTCTTCCTTCATCTGTTCGTTTATATCAGTAATTACTGTACTCCCCCATTCTATCATGGCTGCTACAAGCAGACAGACAGCTAGCACAAGGAAATCTTTCTCTTGTATCGGTAGAGGAAGATTTTGTTCTTTTAGATGTGAATCACTGAATTAATGATAATGGGAAAAGGATAAAAATAAACCAGATAAATCCTAGTTTCAAAGCCTTTGATGACTGCTTTTAATATGGTAGGTGTAATGACTGATGTGGAAGTAATGTAGTTTCAATAAATCAATAAACTGACCCATGTCGTGAAATTTAATTGCCTAACTATGTCCCAGGCATAGGAGCTCTGGTCATACCATCAATGTAAAAGTTGGACTGCTAATCACAAGGTCAGAAATTCAAACACCAGTTGTTTCAGGTAGAAGATGAGGCTATCTACTCCACTAGATGTACAGCTTTGGAAACCCTATATAATGTCACTCAAACTCCCTGCCATCAAGTCGATGCTGACTCAGAGTGACCCTATGGGACAAGGTAGAAATGCGCTTGTAAGTTTCCAAGACTTTCGCTTT